ATACATATATAAAATACATAATACATTCTAAATGTGTCCACTTCAGTGCATTGTGAATGACATCAGCTGACAGGAAATGAAGAGGAACCCAAGCTGTTGCCTAGCAACTCAATTCCACGCTTAAACGGAGTGTTTCAGACGGAGGGCGAGTACAGGTGCAATCACACAGACGGAAGGAGAACGTTAAAGCATGCAAACATCTTCTAGGAGAAACCCACAACTTACATATGAAGCTGGAAACGAGCGTAAACTGTCCCCTTTAACTGGCTTCATCTGAAGGTGAACCGTGTCCTACAAGCTGACTTCGTATCAGGAGTCCTGCGGGAGAACAGGACCGAGGCTGGGGAGCAAACATCCTAAGGCTTGGGAGGCCTTAATGTATAGTGCAGGCTAATGCATGTTTAAGCTGCATCGTCACACACGGTTGTGCCGTCTCATCGTACAGGTACATCGGAGTGATGCTGCTCAATTAAAAACTGATCCGAGTGGCCGAGTAACGAACTGAAAAGGTTTAGTAGCGAACAGATAACCCGGCCGAAAGTGAGCATGTGAAACTCACCGAAAAAGCAAATAATGGTGAAGTCTTGGACCGCCAATGTTTGCCGTCATAATGAGACTCGAGCTGGAGGACGGCTGTTTGTGTTTTAGCTTTAGTCGTTGTTCAAACAATAACCGGAGTTGGAGAAAAATTCTAATTGGCTCAACGGCACACAATGAGCTTTAATCACCGTGCACAGGCCACATGAGCGCATTTCAAAACCAGCTCAACGGATTAGAGATTATTTTCCATATGAATAAGTGACAGTGTCAGAGAAAGACCCAGACAAATGGGATTACGAGCGGACATTTAACTGGAACAACCGCACTGGGAGACTTAATTGAAGCGGAGTCGGGGGTCCCGACGCCTTATGCAGTTCATGAATCTGCCTTAAAACTAAAATGATATACGTTTGATGCATGAACTTATCGATAGCAACTTTAGCTGCTGAGCTCCATTAGTCAATGGGAGTTTGTTTATAATCTTCAAATCATAAATGCTTAAGTTATATTTGCTGAAACTCTGGAGAGGGACAAACAAACAATGGGAAAGTATTTCTAATAAAAAATTTTAAAAGTTCTGCGTATTTATTATGTAATATTTATTATTTTATTAAAAGGGTGTTTTTAAGTACACAGAAACATGTTTTTGTGCTATTTCTGCTTTCTAAATCTACATAGTATTCCTTTAAGACCAAACCACCACCACAAAAAAAATAAATAAAAAAATACATTTATCACAACTTTCTCTCCCACGGAGACAAGTTTCATTTTTTTTTCCCTCTCTCTCTGCACGCTCCACATGTATGGCGTGTCGCTGAAGCCTGCAAACTCCCAGAGGCCGTAACAGTATACGATGATAACGCAGCCGATGTTAAACTTATTGATCAATCCTTGAACATTTGTCCACAGTCCTCTTTCTCTTCCCACACCTTCGATTAACAAGGAGGGGGGGATATATATATATATATATATATATAAAAATCTGTGCATATTGCACATTTAAGGCTTTAATCGATACTCGCAGAGTGGCACTCCTTGTTCAAACACATGCACGTCGAGGCTGTTTACATTCGTGATTGCCGTAAACACAGGAGCCTGAAGCCACGTGATGCGAGTTGCAGTGGACAGGGGGGAAAGTTTCGGTCGGCATGTTTTCCATGTAGAGATCAAACTCATGAGATGATCCGGGAATAGAACTCTAAAAGAGGCCTGACGCTTTTCATATGGTGCCTCGTAGGATCGGGGTCGGACAGAATGGTCTGTAACGGAGGATGAAAGCAGTCCACAGAGACTTCATTGAGCTCATGTATGCATCATGAGGGGTGCCAACACACTGCAAACCGCCTCGTATATGACCGACGCGCCCATTCACAGGCTGGCTCCGTCTGTTAGGAGTCTGGTGGAGAGACACGAAAAAAAAAAAAACACTCACAAGACACCAAAAGCGTGCTGCTTTGTGTGAGAGACGGGCTATTAATAGGCTTGCTCCAATGAGGGAGACGGCTCTTCCCCCTCATGTTTGGGATCAGCTCCTCACAAGGGTTGAGAGGGAGGAAGGAAGAGGGGGAGGGGCGTGCTTTCTATTGACACTGAAAGTGACACAAAGTGCTTGAACTTCTAATTGTAACGGTTACACTTCCCGCCGTCGTTTAGAGACACTATAGGTACCAAGTTACAGCAGGGTTGGCGCAGAAACAGCGAGGAGCCCAAACGCACTAGTACAGCCATAAATCATTCAGCAACCAGCGCAGACACTCCTTAGGAGGCCCGGCACACCTATTTCCACACAGAGCAAAGCAAAGTGGCTTCATCTAGCGAATATTTGAATGTTGCTTGTGATCTCATGATGATGCAAATGGGCTGTTTGTGAGTTTACGATCTCAATTGGTGAACGGTAAATGGACTGTAGCCTACTTGTACGGCGCTTTTCTAGTTTTCCGACCTAGAAAAGTTAGTTTTTTTTTAGTCTAGTTGTTCAGCGCTTTAACACTACATGTCATCATTCACCCATTCACCCAATGATGACAGGGGGCTACCATGCAAGGTGGCAGCAGCCCATCAGGACCATCTACTCATTCATACACCGCACAAGCAATTTGGGGTTAAGTGTCTTGCCCAAGGACACATCGACATGGACCAGCGGGGCCAGGGATCGAACCCCAGAACATCTGACACCAATTGAAATCGGTGTTACTCATAATACTGTCTACTACTAAATACTGCGAGATGGATACTGCCGGGCAGCTCAGTCATGAATGGGAAGAAAATGACATGAGGGTGTCAAACATCAGCTGTATGCAGCAGAAACACAGACATCAAGCAAGCGGCATCTCCCATGATGCAACGGGCGAAACACAAAAAAACAAACTTCTTCTGGTGATCACCACAAGGCAAGAAACCACAAACATAAGCAAACTTCTTTTGCACATTTAAAGCGGTACACCGCTCATGCTTCCCTAACAACAGCTGATTTAACTTAGAGGAGTTTGGTGTCACAAGCAGAATCACACCAAACTATAAAAAGGTGGGGTTCTTCCTCTGTAAAAGGTAAACTGCAGAGTTACAGATTGACTCATCGAAAATACCCAGTGTCCCGTACTGCAGCGGTGAAAGGCTACACACACCTTTACATTGGCATTCATACAGAACAGGCGGAGGACACGAGAGAGAGAGAAAAACACGTCACTGCGCGTGTAGAGTAACCATCAACACACAGAGCTAGCATGTGTCTTTATTGGTTATGTGAGGCCCATGTGTGCACGCATGTAGGGAAGTTGTTCAGGCTACCGCACGCGACTTCACACACACGAGTCGTGACCAGCTGAGACGTCATTGAGCATAACATGAAGACGTAGTTGGCGGTATGAAATTAAATTTAAAAAAGACATAACATTAACGTTAACAGACAGCGTGCATCAATGAAGAAACTCACGTCCTCGAAGAGAGACCCAACGTTGGCCGTCACCAGCAGTATTCCTGTGCCTTGCGCTGCTGTCAGCTTCCCTGCCATAATTCTCTCTCGCAGGTGGGTCGAGGACTTGGAACAGCGGGACTTTACGGGTGAGGAGCGGGGAGGAAAAACAAACAGAAGCCGGGAGAATGTCTCGCGAAAGTGGGTTACAACGCTGGGTGTTTGCTACTGAAGCCGGGGTTTGAGGCGGCTCGGCTGGAGCATAATTTTCAGCAGTGGCCGTGCAGCTACGAGGAGTTGCTTTGCAGCAGGCGGTCCGTCGGCGGTGGGTTGGCGTGCGGCTTCGCGTGCTACTTTTTCGCGTTCAGAGCCATCGTAAAAGTTCCCGTTTTTAAATCCACGGCGAGTGCCCGAGGGCTCTGGTGCATTCTCTCAGCGACGAGTGTCTCCCCAGTCTTTAGTGCAGTGTTAAAAGTCTCCCTCCGAAAGCAGGACTCTCTGCCAGGACCATTGCCTTCACCGTGTAGAGAGGATAGGCTGGAGTCCTTCACTGCTCTGACGTCACCGTGCCAATGGAAACACGGGGCTGTCTTAAAGGGCCAGCGCACCGTAAACACGGCAGCCCTCGTTCCTAACGCAAACGGCGTCCGTTATCGGACACAACCATGGTGAACGTCTCGGTTTGTCCGTAACCAGATTACGCAACCGACTTTTTTAGGTAAATTATTTCCACGTTTTATGCTATTACATCTATTACAGAGAAAACTACGTGTTTATGTCATGGTAGAGTGCTTTGCATGAGAATATTGCTGCCACATGTCTTTGATAATGCCACAGGCTTGGTTCCTATAGCAGAACATCTATGCAGTTCACTGACCACCTGAAGCTATAAATAATGGATTCCTTATTTTTTTAAATTTAAGCTGGGTAGAGGTGAAGTTTCCTTAACTACTCCTCAGGTACCGACATGAGTTCAGGCATGCAAGTCTGTTGACAAACCACGGACCAGGGGGAACTGGGGTGCAATAGAAGTTTACAGGCCGAGTGTTTTTCCTGTATCTTTGTTTGTATTTTCCCTTTTTTACTGATATAGTTCAATGGGGAGAGAATACGATTAATGTGAGAGAGACTGAGTACTGGATCATTTAAACAATGGTACATGTACTGTTGTTGGAGACTCCATCCTCCATTCACACCAACGATCAACTTTTCATCTCGCACTTGACCCGGTTGACGATGCCAATAAAGTGTGAATTAGGGCCGTCCTCCAAACAAATAGATTTTTTGTCGACTAACACTAATACGATTTTGTTGACTGATTGATCGGTTGATTTAATCGACAGATCTGTCAAACTGAGTTCCTCCACTAAGAAGCACCACTTTTCCATCTTGTGTTTACCAGAGATGTGCTCATAAGTCATTCAGCATGAAAAAATGAAAATAAATTGTAGTCGACTAAGACCAAATCGACCGATAACTCGACTAATGGGATAAGATGGGACAGCCCTAATTCAAATCAGCTGTGGCATTGAACAAACTAGTTACACCCTTTTTTCTTTTCTTTTTTAAAAGACATTTTACATATTTACATGTCACAATTTAATAAAAGCATGGTTGTAACTAATAGAATGTATGATGGCTGGATTAGGTGCTTCATTTTCAGGGTATCTGTATAGTGCTGTACTGGCTCAAAACACCAACAACTGCACCATCTAAGACAAAGAACATTTTAAATACTTGTGGATGACAACATACAGAAAATTACTAATTTGACCTTCAAAGCTGCGCTGAGTGATTTTTGACCTGAGGGGCAGAAGAAAGACAAACCACTTATTACTTACACATTCTGCAAAAACAGAGAAATGTCTTTGCAGTCTTTTTGCAGTGTCTCGTCAAATATCCACTGGTATTTTACAGCACTGTGGTCTTACAGGGTAATTGCGCATTACTTTAAGTATCGTAAACCATAACTGCTTTTGTTTGTGTGGCCAAAACTGTGAGGTGAAACGTGAATGTCTTGTTCAACACGTTCAAACCTGCACTCAAAATAAGGGTTCAAATCAACATAGTTTGTTTTTTTTATAACTGTGGATACAGCTCGGATTATCCTTGACAAGGACCTCTGTGATCTATTGGACACCGCACAACAGATATATCACACTAATCTATGTAACTGGGCTCAATCAGCAGCCATTGGCAGACTGACACACATGTCCTAATGTGTTGTGCTCCAGACTATACTTGCACTTTCCACTGCATGCATGAGCCTTGCATACACCTACACACCCTTTGCCAAATGTGGACACGCACTCTTCAAATCTAAAAGTTTCCTGTTTGGGTTTTGGCAGGAAAATTTCACATTAAAAGACTTGAAACCAAATCAGTGTGCATGACTGGATTCTGCCAAGGGGGCTCAGAGACACAGCCAAGCCCGTGAGTAATGGATCATCGCGAATGGGAATAAATTGCCTTTTCTTCACAAAACCTGTTTGTTGACAACAGCGTTAGCTCACCTCTTTACTGGCACAAGGCTCGGGACGGAGCTGGGAAAACACAAGTCACCCCGTGTGAGAATGTACCGTTGAACGCTGGCTGAAGAGGTCACGTTGATTTTGCACTCGAAAATATGTGTTCACTATAGGGTGATGCAGTATTTTTGTAGGCCAACCCCGGAAGTTAGCATCGCACTGGTTCCCTCGACAAAAATCCAATGGGAATTCAGTCGCCAGAAGTAAAAAGCTAATTAGCAAACGTCTTTTTTTAGGACACGTAACGGCTTCAAAATCCACAAGAGGGTTTTTTACTGACATATTTTATGTTGTAGAACATCACATCTCTTAAGTTTGTGTTAGCCATCGACCTTATTTCGGGAATCTGACCAAAAACAACAAAAAACGAGGGGAACAAGATTGAGGGAGATGCAAAAATGCTGAGTTTTAAGACTCTTTTCTGTAGCGCTTGATAGGGTGATGACGTGCAGGGAATTGTGGGAAAGCAAAAATGATCTCCCTGATGGTTTTGCGGGAGCCAGGGTCCATAAATAGGCCGCCGCCACCAAAAAAGGTAGTTTGAGGGCAGCAGCGTATTGCCGGGGGTACGACACGCCGAGCAACAGCCCACTGAGCTCCTGTTAAGTGGACAGAAGACTTAACAGAATCCTCACTTTATGGAGAAAGTTAAACATGTTTAGGCCTCATCATGTTGCTGTATTGTATTTTGTGTGAATTGTATGCATCCAGCTGTGACGGAAGGGATCGGCCGCAGTCCTCGAATGTCTAAAGGGCGGCTCATATAGCTAGCGTGTTAACAGCGTCACACTAGTGTGTGAATGTGTGTGTGTGTGTTTTGGGAGGGGGGGTTGTGCACGGTCACGGCTCGCTAAGAGTCCTTGATTTGAACAGAGCTGAGAGATTAGCGCCAAAACGAGAGTGCTCACTCACAGCTGTGTCTGGCATGGGGAGAGTGTGTGTGTGTGTGTGTGTGTGTGAGTGCGTGTGTCTTCGTGACTCCTGTATTGTGATTGTGTTTGCATGAGTGCATGTTTATTTACATGGTTTTTCCACCATGTTCTGTATGTGTGAACATGATGCTACAGAATATCTGTAATTAGTCATTCAGACACACGAAGAGGATAATGATAACAATCGAAGGGAAGAAATCCCTGCCGTTGCTAGTGTGTGTGTGTGTGTGTGTGTGTGTGTGTGTGTGTGTGTGTACATGCACAGAGTTTTAATTCAAAAACGGATCAGACCGCCCTTGAAAACAATCCAAATTAGATTGATATCTCCTTAACGAAATGTTATACTTGTCACTATAACAGTAAACTTAGCACCATTAGAGCTATGTAAACCATGTGGACCGTACTGGAACATTCTCAGTCCTGACTGACTTGTGTTTATCATGAAGTTAACATGTTGACACCATATATGCTTACATTAAGTCATGCTGGGAGGCCTGAAGATGACAAAGCTAAAAACATTAGCGGCGGCTTTGATAGGCAGAAGAAGACGGAGGGCGAGGAAGAAAGAGGAGCGAGGAGGGGAAGATGAAGCCCAGCAGGAAATACCACGAGCCTAGTGTTTAGAACACTTTGGGAAGTAGGCAACCAGAGTGGGAAAGTGAAATTCATCCACACATTCCAGATGCTTGTTGACATATTAACTACTACTCTAGCTGGTGAGGTAACCACTGACACGCTAGCCAGCCAGCCACTAGTCACAATAGTACCCTGAGCTTTTTCTTCTTCTATTTTAAATTAAGAGTTTAATTTAAGAGGGGAAAAAGGATACTGTGCTAGCTAACTGCTTGCTAACTCTCCGTATACCATCGAAGGATATAAAGGAATAGTTTGACATTATGATAAACGCGCTTTATTGCTTTCTTGGCGAGAGTTAAATGAGAATATTGAGACCTTTCTCGTGTTTCTACGATAAACATTTAGCTGTGGCAATTAGCTTAGCTTAGCTGGAAGCAGGTGGAAAACAGCTAGCCTTGCTCTGTCTGAAAGATAACAAAATCAGTCTGCACTTCCAAATTTCACAAATTTACACACACATCTTGTTTGTTTAATCCGTGCAAAAGTCTAAATATTAAAATGACATGTTGTGGTTTTTGAGGGATTTATGCGAGTCACTGCTTTCAGCCAAGAAATAAGCATATTTCCTGAAACGTCAATGTGTCCCAGCGGTCCTCTCGGACCGTGAGATTCTGTTACTTTCTGCTAACGCTTGCATGCTGGTACTTTTTCTGCCATTCTTATCAAACAGCCTGAAGGGGAAGCAAGTGGAAATGGCTCTAAAAATAACAGGACAAATACGTGTGGAGCTTTGTGTGTACACAGATAACGACTCAGGTAATGTGTTTCATGGGGGTCAGTAAATACTACACTGTAAACTCTAGGCAGGATATCCCACAGGGGGGGACGTAAGGAGGGGGTAATGAAATTTGTGTGAGTGTGTCTGCTGCTGATAAAGAAGTTCTACGCAGTGGCCCGAAGCTCCTCCCTTTGCACTCTGGGTAATGGAAAAAATTATGTTGGAATTCCAGACTACCAGCAAGTATGTGCACTTTGACCCCAATCCCTCTACTGCTTAGAATCTAAAAATAGGCAAACCTGGAAATAATCAGGCGTTCTCATGTCTCCAAAGAAGCAGGGATCCAGCCATGTAACGATGCATTAAGACTCGCTGGACATGAAGTTTTATCTCCAACCGCACTCAGGAGTCAGTCATGTAGACCCAATGTATGTAACTTAAGAGAGACAACTTTGGCAGCATGGGAATTTAGCATGAGAATGCGGTTTCATTAGTGGAAGGGAGGTCTGTGTGTGTGGATGAAGTTTTATCTCTGAGTCATTCCAGGGACAATTTATGTCTCCCTGACATATTTCTATATCATTTGAAGAAAATGTATTTACAGATCGTTTGAACAGAACTATTATAAGTTCTCCTTTAGCGAACCGGGATTTGTGGATTAAGTTAATTTGCTGACAGGAACTAAGCCATACACGCTGAAGTATGTTCATTCAAAAGAAATCC